CAAACATCGATATTGCAGATAGAATTATTTAATGGCCAAATGGAAACTGTGGTTAAAATTTATCCTGACAGAATTACACAAAAACCAACAGTGGTATATACAAGTGTACGTTGCATTGAGTTGATCGACTTCACTTCAAGGGCTTCACATCATTCTCGGAGAAATCAACAAGAACTATGTCAAGGCAGATCCTAAAGTGTATCATGATTATGACAAATTAAGGAGTACATGTGTTAACCAAGAAAAAGAAATATCGGTGAATGAAAAAGTGGATGCTAATTCAGTTGTACAGTTATGTCTTCTCAACATACGTTCTCTTAGAAAACAAAGCTGTGTTAGACACGATGTAAATCACTGAAAGAGCGATATCCTGGCATTCACCGATACACAACTTTTACCAAGAGATGGTGACTCGGATATTTCTTGATTCCTCTTATCTCTTACCTGCGTGATAATGATTCAGATAAATTTTCTAGTCTGGGAGTTTGCATCAAAAAGAATATTCGCACTGTGTATCAGAAACGCTCTCCTTCTTTGAATGTGCTAAAATTTGGATTTTCTCGCGACAATAAGGAAGTAAAGCACATTATGTTTCCTTTATTTTAATTTGTCGTAAAAATTACTTGAAAATTCAAGAATTTGTCAATGGCCTGAATTATTTACTCAGAGCTCATACAGTTGATAAAATTCTTGAAGATTTCATCATCAACTATTTAAATAGCAAAGATAGAGAACCTTTAACATTGTTGATGGAGTCTTTGCATAAAAGGCCTACATTCATTTCTAGTAGTTTACTGGACCGCGTCCATATTAGACATGCACACCAGTCTTTTCTGACCATAATGTCATAGGAATAACTATACAAATACATGTATAAAACTTTGTAGAACTGTATACAGTTGTGACATTTCATTAAAAAAAAATTAACAATGAGATGAAGGGTGTGGTAATAATGCATTCAGAAATTTGGCACAATAAAAACGAAATGTAATAATAAACTAGAAAAGGAACAATTTTATTGTCAATGGAATTTCCTTCCATTCATTCTTATGAATATCTAAGACTGCACTCCGTAAAGAAAGCCTTGCAGACAGCTTTATAACAATCTGATAAAACATAAAATTAATACTTCATCATAGTAATTTTACAAGTTGGTTAAATTCTGTCGAGATCGATTGACAACCCGTATAAACACACTTTAATTTCATGTACTTTCATTTGAGATATCACCCACTAAGACATGTAAGACATCTGTTATCATGTCTAAAAATGCCTAATTCTCTGGTAGAAGGATACAGAAAGAATATTAGTTAGATGTACAAGCTAAGAGAAGAACGTTATCGTTTGGGTTAACTATCCTGCCAATCTACACTTTCAAATTGTCTGCTAGTTTGGAATAATTTTTGCCTCTTTCCTTTCAGTGTGAAAGAAAAGAAACTCCAATGATACCTGCTAACCTTTAATAGCTTTAAATACCCAAGTTGAAGAAAATGCAGAAAGTTTGCTTATCTCATCTGACACAGACATGGAGAATGAGCCGTTGAATGTTGACAGTTCAATTGATGAGTCACATCTGCTGAACTGTGAGGAACAACACAATAACAATAAAGGTCATGTAACTTCTGACCAGGAAACAGCACACATCAGTGAAAAACCCCAAATTACCACCACTAACCTCAAACCTGAACTTCTTTCTTCCACCCTGTCACCGAAAGTCCATGCAACAATCATACAACTCCAGAGACGACTGTGGATAAAATTCTACAATCTGCTGTTGCTACTGGATACGTTCACAATGTTTCACAGATTAAAAATGGAAAGTACTTTGATTTTCAATTACAGACGAAGCACAAGACTGTCAGAGCTGTCTGCTTTTCTCCACCAAAACGAAAGTATTTCAGTAAGTACAGTAAAAGCAATGTTCCAGTGGAAATAAGAAAGGTTAGAGTGGATACTAACAGAGATAATACAATATTATCCAAACATAGACTTTCCAAGAGTTGAAATACTAAGCAGTGTAAATTTGGCCACACTAAGCAGTGTTTGCGTTGGGCGGCTTGAAGCGAAAGTCCTTCACCTGTCCCCCATCAAATGTTTTACAGTCTGGAAAACTGAGAATAATTCAGGCACACCTTTTAGACCCTTCAGACACAACAAGAGTTGTGTTGTGGCAATAGTTTTTGAGTGCAGTTGCAGAGGGAAATGCAAAAATATTTTCTGATTGACTCTGCAAAAACAAGGACTAAAATCACACCATCCGTTCCATTTACAGAAATCCTGCCAATCACGATAAAAAAACCGAATGAACATATATTTAACAGTATAACACTCACAGGAGAAATTTTGGGAGTTAACAAGGTGCAATTGCCGTATCAATTAAGAAAACCTTTTCTCCCCTTGCATTCCATATAGCAGGCATTGCATGTCACTCCTCAGGCAACCATGAATGAAAACTGGCCCTGACTCAAAAGTCTGCTCTGTTCCTTACGCTGTTTTTGGACTTGCTTTCATGTATTTTTTTAACTACTGCTTCGTAAAGGGAATAGTTTTGTAGTCAGTGTACAATCTATGATATTGCCACAATACTTTGGTTATCAAGGTAAAGCCCCTATAATGAATAGTCTTATAATCCTTTAGATGTACAGGTATTTTGTTTACAGTCAAACATACAGTTTCCTCTCAAAAACTCTAACACTTAGTTTAGTTTGCAACACGAGCTAAATAATGGAAAAATTTTTTTTAGAAATTCAAATATATCTGAGCTACAGGGTTATTTAGTTATCTGTCATAATTTTCAGACATCAGACATCAATTACATTGTTCCGTTATTTAGTGACCCATGGAAACACATTCAAATCTCAGATGCCACTTGATTCAAGTAAAGAGTTGTTTGCACCAAAACAACTCAACCAAGCCCTCATTTTCCATTTCCCAGGGGCCCGTTGTCAAGCCTGCATTCAATGTCAACACTACTTCATTTTCCTTACTTTCCTAATGCGAAGGCTAACTTTCACAATTCAAACATTCCTGTTTCTTTCGAGCTCAGAGAGAAAATACGAGTTATTTGCATTTATCCATAGATGAAATTCTCGAAGTCCAACTCGAACTCGAACTTGGATCCAAACCCAAGCCTTACTACCAACGTAAACTTGACTAGTTTCTAAGTCTCACGATGTAGTCACTTCGGATGCGATCCAAACAAAGCACGACAGTTGACCCAGGAACCGACCAAAGTATCTACATAGATAGAATTTCATACTTCATACATTTACAACAAGGGAAGGAGACGTAAAAACAAACCAAATTATTGCGCCATTTTTAATTTCCATAGCATAACATTAAGCCTAACCGGACAAACCGGAGAGGGTGACGGTCATTCACTTGTAATGAATACAGTACAGCTCAGAGATAGATGGCCAACGCACACGCAAAACCGACGCACATTTTTCGCGTTCAACGCAGTCAGCTTGCTCTGTCCTGCATTGTTTCGGAAAACAAAGGTTTTCTCTCTCTCAAAATGCCGCTGCCGAAGCGTCAAATCGACAGTTACATATCTCAACATCTAAGGGACCTAATGGCTGCTGTTTCAATGAAACGTTGAAACGACTTGTCACGATTCCACAGGATTTGTGAATAATTACTTTGATACCAGCTTGAGATCACGACAACTTCGTCTGAAGAATTTGAAATCACTGTGAAAGATGCGACTCGATCGAGAAGTTGGCTATATCAACTTTCGCCCATAAGTCTTGTTTACTTTTAATCGGCGCTAAAATATTTCTCAGTTTTCGTTTAAATAATTAAACTGTTTGCTATAATTCATTTCACGTTTGAGTGTCTTTGGCTCACGCGAACGCAGGTAATTATCTATGGCCTTTCGAAAGTCACGCCTAATTAGCTCACGTTCAGATGAGTTTTGTCAGAAAATACGGGTAGACAAGCTCTCTAATCTTGTATATTTTTTCAGGATCCAACAGCTTCTTGTTTGATACTTGAGACGTTGTGGCCATTAAGCTCAGATGGCTCGAACATATAACGTACCAGTAGAACTTATGTATTCACTAGTCTATTTATTTCAAAAGCTGTGGAAAATTTGTCGGCGAGAGATCCAACACCCGAGACTGGCGGCTAAGTTTACGTTTCTCAATTCAAAATGCACGTTCGCATGATTCTAATTCAGAACTTGCAGCTATACATCCTTCCTTAAGCATCTCGTAGTTGCTCGAAACAAGAAGAACACTCACAAGCTGTATGCTAAGTATTATTGTTTGTGTTAGTTATTCAGCTTGTGTAGTATATTATGAAACATTACTCACCCCATTGCTGGAGAACCTCCATTTCGATTTTGAAGTAGAGCCACTTATGTGTAAATTCTGAGTAGATAAGGCTGCACCCACTGAATTGATGGCGTGAATCGAAAAATCTTTAATATACAGCTTCGTTTCCTTATTTCCACGAAATTCAACATGAAGAGAAATTTCCATATGCTTTTCGTAACCAGTCAACGGATCGGCATTTTGTCTGCGCGTGCGCGAGATATTAAAACTTTGCATAGACAACGATAGAGCTCTATCTCAAAGTTTTATTGATATCGTATGAATTAAACAAGAACGTGAAAATGACGATTACTTATAATTATTTTCTTTTGAAAGGAAAATATAACGAAATTAGGAAAAACGCACAGCAGAGAGAATGCGTGGTCATTCCCAACAAAAGGAATACAAGTATAAACGGGATAGGCGGGTTAGTTAGAGATAAGATAAGAGAAGATAACTTTATTTATACACGGTATTTCCATCAGTTGTTAATTATCTATAAAGGTATATCTATCTTCCTAACTATAATAAAATCTAATAATAACAATTCAAATAAAAGAAAACAAATAAAAAATCTGCTTTTCATGGAGGCCGTGTCTAAAATTTACTTAAAATTAAGATATTACTTTAAACTGTGGCGACTTAATTTAGATTTGAAATCGGTCAGTGAAGACGCTTGTCTTAGATCTAAGGGTAAGTCGTTCCACAAGTGAGCTCCGCTGTACAAAAAACTTCTCTTAAGATAATCAGTTCGAGGTTGTGGAAGAACTAATTTGTTTTCCGTATTCCTTAAACGATAAGCACTTATATTGTCACGATATACAAATCTTGATCTCAGATAATCTGGATAGATTTTTGTTCCAATCTTTGATAGTAGAGTTTTCGCCACCCTAGTGCCCGGAACAAATCATCTAAATTACTATCATAGCTCGCAGACATTAGGATGCGAGCTGCCCGATTTTGAAGCCTTTGCAGTTTTTCAGAAAGGCCCTTGTTACAGTTTCCCCACACTACATTACAATAATCAAAATGTGGTTGAACAAGGCTATTATAAACTTTAATTAGAACATTAAATGGAGTGAGGTGCCGAATTCGTTTAATTGCACCAATGGCACAAGCTATCTTCTTAGAGATGTTTTCAATATGACACAGTTTTCCAATACAAAGTGATTGGCTAGAATGAGCACCGAAATATAGAAGTAACAGGGAGAGAGATTGATAATGGCATAAAAAAAAGAGTAAGGAAAAAAAGCCTTAAGAAATGAGAGGTTGTTCTTCGAGGTTGCTTGGTTAACTGTAGGAACGATTACCACGCATTTGATTTGAACTTTCGGCATTCACATCCTAAATCTTCAAAACTTTGCCGAATCGATTCGAAGTTCTTGTAGTGATCCTCGCTCTCCCTCAGGCACGTTAAGGCATGGTTACAACGTGAAAACGAGGCAAAAAATATTATTTTTTTCATTTCAGGTCGTTGTAGAAGATCAAACTTAACAAATTTCGGCGAGGTTATTACTATGGAAATTATCTATCATTCCATGCAATACCATTGCCATAGCAACCATAATTAAATTATAGTCACCCTTGACGACGCCCAAATTAATTACCTTACTTTAAATTGAAATGGGGCGAACCAAATCTTCAAGACTTGAATGAAGTTCGCCCGAACCTTATTGAGGAATAGTTAATTCATAAGAGTTAGTCCTGCAAAGGCGTCGGCATCAGCCATATGTCCTTGGATGAATAGGTAAAAGTCAGGAAATCGTCACGGCAGCTTTGGGGTCAACATTGCAAGGCTAAAAAAAGAAGAAGAAGTTCAACAGAACTAACTTATGTTAAAATTTTTCAAATTAAAAACGATGCATTTTATGTAGAGCTCAATGAAAGTGAGAT